TTAAGAAGACAGTTCTTGGCAGACAAGTTTTGCTTAAAACTAATGGCATATGAAGAGGGTATGTACGCGCAGATATATCTGTTGGCGGCACAAACTCTGACTCATAGATTTTGGTTTAAAAAAAACCATTACTAGTGTCCAGTTGGTTGAAGTTAAATGACTATAGAAATAAGATATACTGCTCAAGAAATAAGGTACCACCCGTTTTCGACACAGAGTATGAAAGTATCAGCAATGAGGTGAAGGTCGATTACTTACCTGATATCAAAAACATGAGCCATGGGGAAGCCGAAGCTATTTATAGGAGTGTAATTTATGAACATTGGCCAGGCCATCGAACAATTTTCACCGACGGATCCAAATCAGAGATAGGCGTAGGTTGCGCCCTGTTTGACCCATCGGCGAACTATGAATGCATGATTAGGCTGCCCAAAGAATGTAGCGTTTATTCGGCAGAACTCTACGCTATATCAAATGCCCTTAGCTCAGTAAATGAAAATTTTTTTTTGATACTCACAGATTCGCTTAGTTCGATTCAAAAATTAGGACAAAGGAAATGGAAATTTAACTATAACCATGTGATCTTGGAGATACTAAAAAAGATACGACATCTAGGTAAGCAAAATAAAATAGTCACCATAGCTTGAGTAAGGTCACACGCAGGTGTAGCGTTTAATAAACGGGCAGATGCACTAGCCAAACAGGCCGCAGAATCGGGGCGGTACTCGCTTTTTAAAGTTCACTTCGAGGATCTAATCCCAATTATTAGAGAATTCGCCCGGCAAGAATGGCAGATAAGTTATCGAGGATCGACGAAAGGTGAAAACAAGCAGATTCAACCAAATGTTTGTACAGAAAGTTGGTTCAAAAAGGACAATGTAGCGAAAGCATTCGGGAAAACCATAAATAGGTTAAGGTATAACCATGTTGTATGTAAACAATATTTATCAAAAGTAGGTTTACTTCCATATTTTTGTTAAATGGAATTTCATTGAATACAAAAACTAAAAAAGGTGAGGACTAAGGCGATGTTCGTTCCATCCAGATTTTCACGCTAATGCTAAAGGATTTATTCAAATGAAAATGGAGTATGACTAAACCCCCTAGAATTGGACGACGTTGTGCCTCCAGTGCCAAAATATTAAAGAGGAGCTACAAGGAATGATTGAAGACCAGACTAGAAGAAGTAAAGAGAAATGGTCCTTAGTATGACTTAGAATGAATAAGTCCAAGTGCAAATTTACTTCCGTGCAATGCCAACCAGAGTACCTACGACTGAATAATGTAAACAGTGGGAAGAGAGGACGAACTGATCCACGGGGACAAAATAAGAGATCATGATCAATTGTCAGAAATAACAAGATGGTGCTCTCTAGCTAGGAAGATGTTGCTAGGTACAACAACTTCGTTAGATCGGAAGGTGATGTTCCGCTAAAGGTCTGTGGGACATTACCTTACCGCCAATAAGTAGTGGTATTGCAAGGCATGACCCACCAAGGCTGCATAAGAAACGTGTAGGTAAGGAAGTAGACTTGGGTTCAGGTATAAAACCGCCACAATAGCCAAAAAAAGCGGAATTGGGTAAGTCATACTCTGAGAGGTACCGGCGTTAGTCTGAAAGATTGATTCAATGGACACCAAATTACTGCAAAAGAAACAGAGGGCCCCCTCACAATAACTGGAAAGAAAGAAGTAAGGAAAGAAATGAAGAAGCTATGGCGAGGAGCAATCTGGCATCATTTAGCTCGAGACAAGAAAATACGAAAAAAATGTCCACAGTATTTTCTGATGTATTTCATAAAATAGTGCACTGTACAAGTAATTTCTAAATTGTAATAACAAAAACTATGAAAAAATGTCCAATGGTTTAAGAAACTCAACAAGCCACAGAGTCAGCTGTTTTTCTATAACACATCTATGTTCACTCAAAAGTTATTATTATATATAATTAATAGTGCTGTGAAATATATGCATTTGCATATTTTTCCAGTTTAGCATAAACATCCAGTTTTAACTGTGTATGTTTTGAAGTATTTGGAATCAATTTAAACTATATTTAGTTTGCATATTTGTGCATATATTTCCATAAATGTTTGCATAAGTGGGTTGTAATTGCATATTTTTGACATATCCGGCATATCGGTATTTGGCACGTCAAATTTTAATGTTTCTGAGAAGTCAAAAAAAAATTCCGAAAAAGAGATTCGGGCTCCCATTTTTCCGTTTCCACATAATGAACAAGTTTGTGTCTACACCGCTTTCCACGAACTTTCGGTCGCCTTTGCTTCTCTTAGAGTAAATGGAGAAAGGAATAGCGTTTGTACCACTCTAAATGTTCTCTTGAATAGTTTAATTGGATTCATGGAAATTCACTAATTTCGTGGTCCGCTTGACCAATTAATATATTATAATTAATTAAGGTTTTTAGTTGATATAAAAAAACTACTAAATAAATTCATGGAAATATTACGACCTCAGTTCTCTTCTTTCCCTACCATCATACATCTCAGCTCTACCCAGTCTCTCGTTTTTCCATCGTGAAACATTATTTGTGTGTTGTGAACTGACTACTTCTAAAATGCGGAAAGTCACCGCAAAGATGAAACATCTTGTTCAAAAGCGAGTGAGTTTTCCAGTGAGACTTTTAAGGGCGATGCAGACATTTTATTCTGTGTTTGTTGTGATAAACTTGTATCAACAGCTACACGTTTTTTTGTAACACAGCACATAAAGACAGCAAAACACAAGGAAAACAAAGGTAGGAAGTGTAAGTTTCAACAAACCTTTACAGCACAAGCTGCCAGAAGCGCTGCGTCTTAAAAGTCCGGTTTCGATACCGATTTATGTCGTGCTTTAGGTAGAGCTGACATACCCGCCCATAAATTACCACCCTGAATCCAAGTGTTTTTTGTATAAATACACAAGGAGTTCCCCACGAAAGTACCCTCCGGAAATCTCACCTGGATTTTATATACATTGAAACATTCCATAAAATCAGAGATTTCATCGAAAATGTACCGATTTGGGGCTTGGTGGATGAGACGGTGGATTTTTTACATTTAAATTTTTTTAATGCGTTTTTATTTTTTATATTAGCCATGTTATGTTCCTCTGGCCACTGTTTTTCTTTTCAATACAATTATGTGCTTTAATTTGAGGTTTCCTTATTTGTTCTCATGGTAGTTTTTGCATATTTTCAGTTTTAAATTGCATTTTTTACCAAATATATTTACATATATATATATATATATGCATATTTGTCTGTTTTCATTGCATATAAATCACAGCCCTAATTATGATTTTATGAGTAAAAACCCCCAGTAAATGTCACTTACCAATTATATATGACAATCAGCATAACTGGAACGAAAATAATGACCTTCAGTAGTTCCTGCCCTTTGACCAAATAAAAAAATTCTTTACCAAATGGATTAATACATTTTAAAATCATCATACATTTATAAATTTGTTAACTTTATCGATCGAGATGCATTTAGTAAAACGTTAGTGTGCGTAGGAAGATTAAGATATAGTAAGATATCCTGTGAACATGCAAGTAGATTATAGGAGGTCTCCTTATAGGGTTATCGCCTTTAATACCGATTCCACCATACTCTCCCCTCCTTTTTATTCCGGGATAAAAGGTTAATCGCACGGATAAACGGAAGCATCATAGCATCTCGGATTTCCGCCAACGTAGATGGATGTCCGGACAGGATAAACACCGACAGAATTCCACCTTTTCCCTTCAGATGTTATCCCACGGCCGCAGAAGCAAAACGAGATGAGATAAAAAAAGACAGACACCCGTCTCCCATCTCTTACACCGTTCTGAATCCAATCCTCCTTTCACGAAACTCGAATAAAGCCCGATCATATTTTACCCTGATCAAAGAGAGTAGTACACAGATCGCTAGGAGAAAAAAACACATCCACGTAATTTATTATACAATTTTCAATAATAGAAAATAGATCGGTCGGTTTTTATAACAATGGTCAGATTTTCATGAAGAGAGTGAATTAACACAGTGGAAAGGGAGAAAAAGTACCCTAATGGGAAAAACCTGGACATGATTGCTCGGTCAATTTTTCAGCTGGTAAAAATGTTTTAACATAATTGCCAATAACGAGTGCTATCTCTATTTTTCAACCTTACCTACTCAACAAGCTGGAATGCACGAATTCGCGGACAACGGTAATCAGTAGCCTGGCGTTTTATTCATTTAACAATTTCATTGAAAAGTTTACAGAAATGAATGTCCACTTGAACCTGCCATAGAATGTATTTGAAAAGGGATTTCTTATATTAGAGTCAAAGGGTTAGTAGGTCGAAGCAAAATTGCTACTGTGGTATTCGTATAAAGAGAAGACAGATAAAGGAAAGATTGAACAAAAGAAAAATTATTTTTAAAAAAAGTTTGGGCGACATGCGAAAGTGGAAGTTACTTGTAGAAGGCATAATATATATATATATACATATATATATATATATACACATATATATATATAGATATACAAGTGGTCTAACAAATTTTTTAAGTCACAGTAATAAACTGCTCAAAAATGATGGCAATGAAAGCAGTGGTGAAATTATTTCCTTGTTTTTACAGCACAGTTATACTAAACCCTCATGACTGCCAGTACATGCAAAACTAATGGTCTGTGCGCCGTGAAATAAATATGTTGGTTCCATGTTAAAATATCTCACAGTACACACATTCCCCCTCTCTCTCTCTTTCTCTCTCTCTCTCTCTCTCTCTCTCTCTCTTTCTCTCTCTCTCACACTCTCTCTCTCACTCTCACTCTCTCTCTCTCTCTCTCTCTTTCTTTCTTTTGTTCTTTCTTTCTTTCTCTCTCTTACAGTTCAAATCCTTGCCTGACTATGGTTAAGAAAATTTAGCCATTGTTCTTCCTTTCCGAGTAGTCCTGTGGCCACAACTTTGAACATTCAGTACTTTGAACTTAACAGGCTTTATTTTAAATGCTTCTACTTTTCACAGATGCCGAAGCAAGATTGAGAAATGGAAAGTAAGAAATACGCAAGTGATGGAACAGAGCGGATCTGAGGATGTCGAACAAAAATTTCTCGGGAGATTTTAGGCATCGGATGAACTTGGGCGAAGCGCATTATAAAAACCTTTACTCTCAATTCGTTTAATAAAGATTGTGAACCCTAAAAAATTATGTATTTTCATATTGTTATTATGCAAGAAAAATAACAAATAAACTGCTCAAAATGAATAGGGATAGTGCCAATTTTGTAGTATTTATTTTACCGAGCATTTTTTTACTGAAAGAAAATTTAATTAAGGGATTTAATAAAAATAAAAGGTTTTAATTTCATAATTTTGTTTATTGAACACAATAATATTTTTTAAACAATTAGTACCGTGTGGACTATCCCCTGTTAGCTAAAACTTTTGGGAACCTGTTAGGTATACTGTTAGCAAGGTTGTCACTAATTTCATAAGGAATTTCACTCCACGGATGTTGCAACGCTGCACTCAGTTGTTGCAGGCCAACTGGCTGCGGATGGAGATCGAAAAGCCGTCTCTGCAACGCATCCTCTGTTCTAGGTAGACTCTTCGGCGCTTGTAGACTAATTTCTCACCAAAGTTTGGTAAAGTTCTTGCCAAAACATCTTTTACTTCATTTATGATCTGGCGGACACTATTGAAAGGTTACACTTTTGCAGCAATTATAATATTTCTGCGCTTCTGTCGTAATGCGTACTTGGTCACGATAGCTCAAGTGGTAGAGCAGCGGCGTATCAAGCCGAAGATCGTGGGTTCGAATCCCGCTCGTGCCATCGACTTTTTTATCTCTACTGAAAATCTTACTTAATTGTAAGATATTAATTTGTCAAGCGGACCACGAAACTAGTGAATTTCTTCTTAACTTGGTATGGAAAAGGACTTGGCCTAAGAATTTATCACAAACAAAGACACATTAAAAAATGAATTCTTTGTTGAATTTTAGTGAAATATTTAAATAACAAATTATACACATTTATACTCCCTGAACATAATAACACCCTGCCCGTTCATTAAACGCTACACACCTGCGTGTGTCCTTACTCAAGCCATGGTGACTATTTTATTTTGCTTACCTAGATGTCGTATCTTTTTTAGTACTTCAAAAATCACACGGTTATCGTTAAATTTCCATTTCCTTTGTCCTAATTTTTGAATCGAACTAAGCGAATCTGTAAGTATCAAAAAAAAATTTTCATTTACTGAGCCAATATAACTAAGGGCATTTGATATAGCGTAGAGTTCTGCCGAATAAACGCTACATTCTTTGGGCAGCCTAATCATGCATTCATAGTTCGCCGATGGGTCAAAAAACCGATGGGGCAACCTACGCCTATCTCTGATTTGGATCCGTCGGTGAAAATTGTTCGATGGCCTGGCCAATGTTCATAAATTACACTCCTATAAATAGCTTCGGCTTCCCCATGGCTCATGTTTTTGATATCAGGTAAGTAATCGCCTTCACCTCATTGTTGATACTTTCATACTCTGTGTCGAAAATGGATGGTACCTTATTTCTTGAGCAGTATATCTTATTTCTATATTCATTTAACTTCAACCAACTGGACGCTAGTAATGGTTTTTTTTTTAACCAAAATCTATGAGTCAGAGTTTGTGCCGCCAACAGACATATCTGCGCGCACATACCCTCTTCGTATGCCATTAGTTTTAAGCAAAACTTGTCTGCCAAGAACTGCCTTCTTAAATTCAGTGGCATTTCACATGACTCAGAGTATAAAACGTAGGTTTTTCTACTGTTAATATCGATGATTTTCTTTTAGAATTGATTTACAAAAGATCTGTACGGAGGAATATTGTAAAATACATTATATTAAATTGGTCACGAGGATCTTTGAAACCGAAAATAATCGTTAACAATATAAAAACAAAATGGGGACGACGGAATAATACAAGAAAAATAGGGAAAACCAAATAAATTAATAAGAAGAGTAGGGAACTCGCCGGTAAAACGCGTAAAGGGATGAAATAAACAACTGCGACATCTAAAATCTAAATATACACAAGTAACAAAGGATATGACAATTCAAAGACGAGGGAAAAATATCGTAAAACCTCTCTTTCTTCAATATAACTGTCAGAATAAATATTAGGTTTTTAATATTTTTGTCCTGGCTTAAATATATTCGCGACGGGTAGAAAAACAAGAATAAGTATTAGTAAAGAAATTAAGTAAACATAATTTAAATAAAAACTAATTATTGTAATAATTATGTATTATTTTTTAATTTAATTTTATTAATTTATTTGTAACTTGACGTCTAGTATATATAATACGACAGAAAATGTTTCTATTCTGTTTAAAAAAAATTATGATTATAGTAAGTATAATATAAGTATAAAATATAATAGTTCCCAAAACTGTAGTTATAATCGATCTAATTTAACTTTGAAACCAAGGTAGAAATACTAAAACAGCAATTTGGTTTCTGTTACATCACAGCACCATTCAAGAGGGGCCGATGCCCATCGATATGGGAGTGCCATGGGGCTTTTCTTCAAATTGAACGCTCTCCTCTTCTCAAAATATTACCTGTACCTACCTGATCGATAGTTATTACTAAATTGTGACGAGGGTAGATATTTCTGCTGCCTTTCTTGTCCGAGTATCAAAAAGAAGGATCCTAGGTCCTCTCTTATATATA